AGAAATTTTAATCGGCCGAGGAAGGACAGATTGACAAAAAGTCCTACCACATTTACACAGAAAGAGAGAGATGTAGCCACTCAAAAAATGAACAACAGAGTGTTGTTACCGAAAGAAGGTAGTGCAGAATAAAGCATAAGCAAACAAAAATCAAATGCCCACTTCAGCGTCTTGTGGAATGTGACTGGAAAAAACAGGTAAAGCGAAGGAAAAATAAATAAGGTAAATAGAGTGTTAGAGCAGCCTGATTTGGCTGAAGCACAGGATGAATAGATGACATCAGAATGAGCCAGATTTTGGCTTCCTGGTCCTCTTCCTTTTCCTACACACCCCACACCATCCCAATCACTGAACTACTCTCCCCAGTTTACACTAAGCTTATAAGGTGCGTGTCCATTCTGGAAGCAGTTGACTCAAGGGAAGGGAAAGTTTGAGGCAATGGTCACGCCCATGAATGAGGGATGGGACCACTCCCATCAGTTATTAGCAATCAGCACAAACATTACAGACCCTGGTGTGTTTCTCCCTCAACCTTAGGAAGAGTGTCTCACTTTAGCTATGAGGCTAAGACTAGCAATTTGCCTTAAGGAATATGCCAAGTAGATCCTGTCTATCAGAGCCGAGCCGCATCTTCATTCTTTGAGTCCTCAATATGGGCATCCAAGTTGTGGAGGGGACAAAGCAGGTGTTTTGGGGAAATTTATGAAAACCTTAGAGGTGTACACCAGTTTCCAATGGTAACATTTGGACTTTTTCCCCAAATAATCCATGGGAGTTGCTCCCTAATGCTTCCATCACTTCCTACCCTACCTTTGCTCTGAACCCGGTGCCTAATAATTTGCGTGCGCTTCCCTTTGCTCATCTGCAGTGTGAAGAGCTTGAATTAAGTTCTCTCCTAAGTGTTCTTCGTAAGTTCTACTTTGGTGTCAGGTTGAAAAGCTTGTTTGGGGTCATGTTGAGAAAGGACTTGACTGCTTTGGGCAAAAAGGTTTAGTCTTCAGATTGTAGATTATGAAAGTTAGGGACATGTACTTTAGAAGCAGGATTGTAGGCGTCACATCCCAGCTCTCTCATTGACAAGTGTCTGATTTGAGAAGATAATTTAATCTTTTAAGCTATCGTTTTATTTTGTAAAATAAAGGAAATAAAAATTTTTCACATGGTTAAGTAAAATAATTCAATAATTTAAAAAATATAATAGTCAGTGAGAGCCTCTGAATTTTTTGAAATTGAGTACAATGGCTAAAGACTGCAGTGTGATGGTGAACTTGACACTTCTGTGCTTGACAGAATGATTGATGTAGGCATCCGATAAGTGACCACATCTAGGTATCATGAACAAATGGCAAAAGAGAAACTCTACAGACAAGCAATAACAGTAAAACCAAAAATTATAACTATGGCAAATGAGAGTGGCTGATTATTTATTTTAATAACAGATAAAATTTATTGAACACTCCCTATGTGGAATGCTGTATTTTTTAGCTTGCTTTAAAATGTTAACTTAGAAACCTGAAATCCGGTGGTCTTGAGACCCAGACTCTATTTTTCAGCTCAGCCGTTGCTCACTGTCTGTCACTTAATTCTTCTCTAATTGAAGTTTCTACTTAAAAAAAAAATACGCCTTTAAATATATGTGTGTGTATATACATATTATATTTTCACCTGTATGTAAAACATTTCTATACACATGTATATATCAATTGTGACCATGTACAGTTGCAAATAACAGAAAACTATAATAGTTTTAGAAAATGAGTATCTACTTTTTCTCATATGAGAAATCTTAAGGTGTGTGTCACTGATATTATTTTAGCTGCTCAGGGAAGCCATCAGGGACCCAGGCTGTTTCTAACTTCTACTCCAGTATCCTTAGCACGTTGGACTTTTGGTTGTGCACGTCACTGCATGGTCAGAATGTGGTTCCTGTCTCTCAGAGAGCAAGTCTAGCGCAATGAATAAAGAAATCCCCTCCTCCATGTTAGGTCTCGATGTCCGGAACATAGCCGTTGGAAGCTCAAGGGCAGCTAGAAAGTGGGGAGCTGGATTGTACGACTATTTCAGACCACTGTCATCCATGTGCCTGGGCTGAGCATCTTTGGGCCTGAAACTAAATGACGGTTCTTTTTTTTTCCTTTTTATTTGTTTATTTATTTATTTATTTAAAATCCTGGCCCTTTACCCCTGCCATCCACAATATAATCATCTCCATTGTATTTGGGGAGCTCAGTTTGCTGACAGCAGTTCCTACTGTAAATCTGATTCTACAGAGGGTAGCCAGCACTGAGCTCTTCAAGGATGCTGTTGCTCCCCCTACACTTGCTTGCTTTTCTTTTTTTTTTTTTTAAAGATTGGCACCTAGGCTAACAACTGTTGCCAATCTTCCTTTTATTTTTTTTTTTCCTGCTTTATTTCCCAAACTCCCCCCCCACCCCGGTAAATAGTTGTATATCTTAGTTGCAGGTCCTTCTAGTTGTGGGATGTGGGACACCGCCTCAATGTGGCCTGACAAGCGGTACCATGTCTGCGCCCAGGATCCGAACCCTGGGCTGCCGCAGCGGAGCATGCAAACTTAACCACTCGGCCATGGAGCTGGCCCCTGAATCACCATTCTTAATAAAAAAGAATAGAGGAGAGAATATTGGGTAGACAACTGGCGTAATTTTCCATGAAAAGGATAGCAAGTAAATAAAATCACCTTACTTGAAAGATGCTGTGATAAATTGTGAAGGATGATAAAGTATTTGTGAACTATGAGGCAAGAATAATCCTTCCAAAGCAAATGAGATCATTCTTGACAACTTATTTTAATTTGTGAAAGAAATTTTATGTTAATTCTCGGGAGCTTTTGTAGAAAAAAAGATACAGCCAGTCATTGAATGAATAGATAGACTTTTGTTGTTGTAGTTTTCTTATCTAGATAAACTCTTGAGAGGGCTGATAAAGTATATTTGTGGTAGAAGAAATGGCTTAAACTGATAATATATTTTCGTGGACAAGAGGCATCCTGAACTACAAACTCACCCTGAGCTTATCTGTGTCATGGTAGGTGAGTGATTCTAGCTCGCTTTTGTGGACAGGCTACATCTGTTGTTCTATAGTTAGCGTTTTCTCAAGCTGCCAGAAAGCATCTCATCACTTGGCTTGTCCCACATATTAAGACAGAAAGAAAAAGAGACAGAAGATGGAGCACAGTTGCTGGAAGACCTGTAGACCTAGAACTCGGCAGAAACGATAGCTGAGAGCAGTCATGGGCACGATGCTCGCCCAGGAGATGGAACAGATTAGCAAGGGGAGGCATGTTCTACTGACCGAAAAAGACCAAGGGACGAAGACAGAGTTTTAGGATTTCTAAATTATTACCTACTCCAGTGTGATGTCAGCAAGTCCAAGATACCTGGAAATGCAGGGCATTTAGAGATGTAAATAATGGGTAATTCTTGGTAGGTGTGATGGTAGTTTCAAGTGACTTTCATTTCTGGCTACTCTGCTTCTTTGAGAAAATGGTTTTGCATTTGGAAAATTGTATGTGCAGGCATTCTGGAGGTCATATTTATGTGCACGCAATAAGCAATATGTTTTCCTTTGATGTCATTTATTTTCCACTATCATATTATATTGGGTAGAAAAAATAGTTTGAGACCATTTTCTCAAATATATGAGATACATTGCTTGGAGAGTAGAATGTTGATAGTCAATTCAGTTGAAAATACTATTTCTGACAACATCTTACTGAGACTGTGCTAGCAGATTAGGAGAGAACTGGAACAATGGATTTTGAAAACTTCAATGATGTTGCAATATATAACTTGCAAGTACATTAACTACTGTTTGTGTAAAAAGTGTTTATGTTGCATATGTGCACGCCCACATAACGCTATTTTACGTGGTCAAGGTGGCGCAAATAGATGGATGAATCTTAATTTTGAGATTCAAAAGGATTTGATGAGAGCTTGGTTTTTGTGACTATTACAGATTTCCTATTTTCTCTATCTTTCATTCTTTGTCTTGGTTCAGCTACCCTAATATGTTTGAAAAGATAAGAGTTTCAGGAATTCTTATTTATGTTTTTATAGGTATTTTGATTTATGAATTATTTTTCCAGGTATAAGAATAAGAAGGGACTTAGATAAATCTTCATAATTTAACATAATTATCTTTAAATATTAAATTAATCTTTGAGAAATCCACAGTATTAGTTTTCTTCCTATGGCTCAGTTTATTTTTCATTAGATTATAGTGGCAAGTAGATTCAAAATTATTTCTATAATAAAAATAATAATGTGATTATTTTAATAAAATAAGAAATACCTAAATTCTTTCAAACATTGTCTCTAGTTAAAAACATCTGCATATATTTTATAGGACAGAGAAATCACTTTGATTTATTTTATGAAGTGAGTAAAGCATTAATATGTGTGTAGTTTTTTTTCTTTTAACTATTTATATCACCCCACTTATCTAAATCCGTAGTAACTTTAAATAACTTTGAAGTCTTCTCAAACCTTGAAGACATACTGAGTGAAATAAGCCAGTCATAGTAGGGCAAATATTATATGATTCACTTATACGAGATCCCTGCAGTAAAGTCATAGAGACAGAAGGTAGAATGTTACTTGCCACAGGCTGGGGAAAAGGGAAAATGGGGAGTTTAAAAAAAAAAAAAAAGAAGCTCTTTTTAGCCATGCAATGAGATATACTATGACAATTTAATATTAGTTCAAGGGTATTGTGTATCTTTTGCCATAATGTAGAATTCCTTCTAAGTGAAAAATAAATTAAAGAATGCATGTAGAACACTGAGCACAGACCTGGCAGACAATTCTCATCTCAGTAAATGTTATTTCTTCTTATTATGGCAGTGTATGTTTCAGAAGGTCAAAAGAGCAATGTGAAATAACTCAACTTTTAAATGAGTTTGTGAATATATTTATAACAAAATCAAATTACATCCTTAAACTATTTTCCGACATTCTTATTAAGAAACTTTGTTATTCTAGGAGGAATCGTTGATAAGGATCTTCGTCACTACCTCAACTTACGATTTCAGAAGGGGTCTGTTGACCATGAACTTCAGCAAATCATTCGTGACAACCTCTACCTCCGCACAGTGCCGTGTGAGTACAACAGGGGATGCTATTTTTCTTCTACGTGAGCAGGTCAATGTTTAGCTGAATATCCACTGTTTAAAAGAAAAGTTCCATCTCACTGATTCTTTATAGTGGGCGTTTGGAATGGAAAACCAATCTGAGATATGGAAGTTTCAAGCGCAAAAGCTCATCGTGGTGGTTGTGTGGTGGTTGTGTGGTTTACGATGAAGTTGTAGCCAGGAGAGACTCAGGTTTCCAGGCTGTAAAACCTGACTGACTTCTCGAGTTAGCATTGATAAATAGGAATTCTAGTCCAGGATGTTGGTGATTCAGAATGAATCATGAGTGAGTTAGCACTTCACACCGGGAGACAGGAGAATGCAAATTCAATTTACTAGCTGAAACAGCTGCTTTGTAAATGGAACCTACATAGTAACTCCCGACCTCATCTCTGTTGGCAACAGAGGAGCCTCACAAATGAAAAGAAAATTATGCATTGGAAAGGAAAGCTAAATGTTCTGTGACTCTTAGAAAGTGTTGATGTTGACTGCTGGCTACAGACTTTTTATATGCAATCTATAGAAATCCACAGACAACAATCCCTGATTATGAGCAGGTGCTAGTTTGAAAAAGAGGAATTGGTAAAATGATAAAAGTCAGAAATCAACTTCTTAGCACCTGCTTTAGCTCACCTGAGTATCTATTAACTTTGGAACAATTCAAGGACTTTTCAAGTCAGATCCTACATCCTAGATAGATATCAGCATCCATATCCGTCCGGGTAGGTTTTATGACCCCGGAGACTTTCCAGTCTCTCCAGAAACTCTGATCTGTGGGTGTTGTTTGTATTCCTTTTGCTTCAGTTCTGTTCTGAACTTTAATAAACTCAAAGGTATGGGCTCTGGAAGGTTGATACTAAAGAAATAAAAATGGTTAGGATAAATGAAACAAATAAGCAAAGAAATATTATTTTAATTTCTGAGATTGAACTACCAGAACTAAGTAAAGTGGATAATTCAGCACCCAACTCTTTTCACCTACACGTCTCTGGAGGGGTGCCCTCTTGCCATTGTTAGCGTGGACAGTTTGTCAAGCAGGGCATCACTATCAAATATTGCTAAATGAGAGCACTTGCTGATTGACATCTTGTCGCTCCAAATGCTACCTCTGTCACTGTGTTTGTTACTTAAGTGAACAGACTTTTAGACTTTTGCTTTAAAACTAAAAGTTGAGAAAAGTGCGTCCCTAAACTTATAAGTTTGACATTAGAGTGATGGGCAGAAGAAGATGGATTAAAGTAAGTGACTGGACTATTTATAAGGTAACGGGTGGACGCATTTTCAAAGCTGTGATGTTGTCAGTGCAGCCATGTGAATTTATCTTTTGTGACATGAAAGAAGGGAGATCTGAAATACTGAATAAAGAATCCGGGCACTTTATTATGTTTAAAAGCTGAGGGAAACAGATAAGAGGCTGACATTCAGGAATGCTTGTAGTCCTTGCTGAGGCAATGACGTAAATAAGGAGACTTAATTAAATATGAAGATAATAGGAGTAAATTTTGCATTAGTTAATTAACTTCTTAAATAAGTCATCTCTCTTTAGAGCACCAAAGAAATACTATGAAGGAAAAATAAATACAAGGGTAAAATAGCTAGTCTTATATGAGTAAACATAAAGAGTTTCGTGATATAATTTCAGAATAAGGTCATAAATTCAATTAGAAATCCTTGAATAGCTCCTATAAAGGAGATGATTAGAAACTCCATGAGTCTGAATATTATGATGAAACAATTATTCTCTGAATTTGTAGCTATCACTCCTATTAGCCAATTCCAATAATACCGTTCATTAATAATGCTCTTAACTTGGCATAAAAGTGAAAAAACACCTGAGATAGAGATGGTTCTGATTTATATTACCTGTAACCACTTCTATATGTATGAATTGGACCTGGACAATCCACCATCTTCCCTCACTATATCCTTTAATGAAATATTCAGACATTTTCAGAGTATGTGCAGCAAAACACGTGTTGATAGTGTGAAATATCCTGCCATTGCTTAGAAACTTACATGTGTATCCAGCATATCTATTGGCCTTGAGTAAAGAGTGACGTTTGTTACATATTCTCTTGGGTTAAAAAATTCTTACTGGTTTTCACGTACCCAACACCATAAAAGGATAATGTGTTACGGACGAACAAGTCACTGCTCTTGCACATGTGTGCATTAACATGTATACCTCTTGTTTAATCTAGTAATGGCACCAGGTCCTGGATAATTCTATAGAAATGGAATTGTAGTCAACTTGTAACTGTGTGAGGGTGGCTTACTTTTTTTCCTAAGGCAAGACCCATATGAGTAATTCTGCTTACCACCCACACATTACTCCACCACCTCCAACTGCAACTAGGAGGAAAGGAATGGAGTCTTGGAGCTGATTTCCTTGGTGGCTAGTGAGCAAGAGATAGTCCGAGGTGAGGGCTCAACAGCCATCCTCCCCTCATACACATACACTGAGCCACATCCAGTTGTGGACCACTTGGGTCCTGTACCATCTCTGGAGGAAGCCTGGGCTGGCTACTGGTTGATTTCTGAGCTAAACAGGTGAGGTAATCAGTCCAGGTCTCTACTGGGCCTTAACTACAAATAATACAACATCCATCATTCTGTTCCCTGCGCCAGAAGAAGGGTTGACTGTATTTAGCTTTTTCATCTTGTTTCCCCAGAACCTTATCTCAGAACCGAATTCTTCAAAATTGTGTATTTTTAAAGCTTTGTCTCCAGCTGTAGAAGGCCGGACTTGGCCACAGAGACAGGACTGTTGGACACATAGTGAGCATGAGTGTGTAGACACACACACAGACACACACAGACACACACACAAAGGCTGTCGTGGGACCACTTCATCATTCATTCGTATTGAATCACAGAGAAAAGATCCTTAGGAACTGACTCGATATTTTCTGTAGAACATAAGCCAGTCACATGATTCATATCCATTAAAGATTTAAATTTGTACCTAAATAGGTGTCTTTTAGTTGCTAACTGTACAATTTACATGGGGCAAAAAAGGGTCTTAAGAGGACCCTGGTATCCTAAAGTGAAAGTTAATTTTTAAATAAAAATACTGTAAATAAATCTTTCTACCATTAGATTTCAGACTACATAGAATTTTTATGTAATGGGACTGAGGAGAAATGAGTAAATAATGATGAGACCAAACTGTTGTAAACTGGAATGTGATAAAGACTAACCAGGAAACATGTATATAGATAAAGGGCTCGAAAAGAGGTTAGAATATCCATCAAACGGGATTTCAATTACCTTGATGGTGTACAAAAGACCATTTCAGAAGCACCAAGTTCAGAGCATCCATTTAGAGATCAGACAGGATTGTTTCATCATGGCTGTTAAGTGTACAAAGCGAAAGCAGCATGTGTTGTCCTTTGGGTAATATAGATTCCAAAGTATATGAGGGAAATTAGTGGAATTAATCCAGAAGAATACTAAGTTAATTTTCAAATGTTCAAAGAGTGAAAATGGAGTTTATTTTGGTTTCAGTATTCTGCTGAGCATCACGATTGCATGCGGTGAACTCCTGAGTCTAGTCAACCATCGTTAAACTGGCTATGCTTCTTAAATGTGAGGAAAAAAATCAATTTATTGGTGAAGTTCTGGTTCCTTCTATCCTTAATATTTACTAGAGATACAAGTTAATTTTCAGGGCAGGCATGAGCACAGAAATACATTTTTGATACTTTTTCCCAGTATACTAGATGACATGAGGAAGGATTTTGATGACCAATTCTAAAGATTTCGAAATGAAATGGAAAGTAGTTAAAATTAAACTTCTCTCCCAAGACCATACTTTGTCATTTGGTGAGATGGTTTTATTGGGAAATATTTTAAACTTATTTGAAAGCAAACAGAAATACCAGTATATACCAAGTAAAAGAAAAAAAAATCAGTAAAACTTGAGGTCTAAAACTATTCCATAAACAGTGAATAAAATGAAAAACATAGATTTAAGATATGCAAGAAATTACTTTTATGGAAGAGCTGATTGAGGTGTAACTCACAGTGATGTTTCTACGTGTTTAAGCACTTTGAGTCAGCATAGCTAAGTCATGTTAAAAAGAAGCATTGTCAAGAATAAAACTGTAAGGTTTTCCCTATATTTTAAAAAACTCTCTGTTATGCTAAATTATCTTTGGTGGAGAAGCAAATAGAAGCAGGCTCTTTAAAAGTTATGGAAATTGTCTCCTTTTAAGAAGTGCAGTTAACAATGCACCGAAAGGAGCAACTATGCAAGGGGTCACCATCTCTTCTTCCCAATTCTATAATTCCATACAGGACTGTGTCAGAGAGTACTATTGAAGAGAAGCGAGCAACCATACCTCTAATAAAAAGTCTGAAAATGCAGAGCTTTCTAGTATACTGCATGCAGAAAAGTAATTTGAATTCTTGAGCAAAATTCAGTACTTTTAAAGCTTGCAAAAATATCTGTTAATATTCAATAAGGCAATATGCTTTTGTGGACGTGAATGAATTTTTCTAATTATTCATAATTTTCGTCATGATGGTACAGTTCTAAGCATGTGGATGAAGGGAGAGTAACATCAGCCTGTAGGTTATATCACCAAAAAAAATAAATTATCTTCTTCCAATAGAATGAGATTCTCTGAGTTGAAGGTGATCAAGAACATGCTTAATACTCAGAACATGTTTAGGCAACATAGGCTGTGTGCTGGGATGGGGGGTTGCACTATAGGAAGGTATGGGGCCACAGGACTAGAGGTGCTGGATCCAACTGAATTTTAAACCAACATATTGCAACAGTGATATATTACATGTCTGTTTCAACCTTAACCTCACTGCTTCAAATAAGGATCATCAATTTAGGAGCTCTTTTTTGAAGTTGCTTTTAGAGTGTGAATCATATTCTTTCACAATTAGTTTAGGATCAAGTTGCCAGATTTTTGTTCTTTGAAAATGAATTTGAGTTTTTAAGATAACCTGATT